CGTCAAATACGCGATAAGGCCCCCCTACTACTACTACTACTGCTACTACTACTACTACTACTACCACTACTACTACTACTACTACTACTAGTACTACTACTACTACTATTACTATTATTACTACCACTACCACCACTACCACTACCACTACCATTACTACCACTACCAACAACGACCAACACCACGGCACCGACTACGACTACGACAATTTATACGACTGCGACCGCGTCGGCGGCGGCAGCGACGACGTCGACAATTGTTGCGTTTGCTATATCTTCTAGCATTCCGTCTGTATTTGGGTGAATTGTCTCATACCGATGGGGACGATCGCTGCTTTTGTCTTAGATTTAGGCAGCATCCATCGATTTCAGAATTGCTGACCGAGCCAGCCCTTTCCACAGCAGAGCAGCATTGCAGACACATGCATGCAGTATTCTTGTTGCACCTGTGAAGCAGGCCAAGACACCCCAAAAACATGCGCAACATAAGCAGTCGTGATTGCTGTCTTGCTAGATGGCATGGATGCGCAAAGCTACAAAGACCACTGCCTCATCATCATTGGGAGTGGCAGCGAGGCTGATGAATTGCTTGCTCGCAGGCGGCTGGCTGCTGGAGGTCGTTTGGTGCATGTGCTCACCGAAGGCGTAAACGATCCGCGTGTGGCAGTTCGTGCCTTCGAGTCTTTTTCTGGCTGCTTCTTTTGGCAACTGGGATGCTGTTAAGATACCCTAATGGGGAAACTATTATTTACTATGTAGACCCACTATGGTAACTTGATTTAAGTTCCTTACCAGCAACCCAGGCAACCTTTGCGGGGGGCAAAATGTAGCAGCTTCGGGAAGCGACTGGGCCCCAGCTCAAGCACGTACTGGACAAAGATGGGTCCCGATGCCATGGCTCTTCAAAGCAACCAGCGGCTGCAGATATTCAAGGCCGGGGGCGGCCTGCGCCACCTCCGGATTCTAGATGAAGAGGGTAACATTGAGGCGGCGATGTCCGGAGAAGTGATTCTAAATCCTGACTTGATCTTGGCAAAACAGCTTGATGTTGAAGTGGTCAATGTTGACCTCCAGCCATGCGGCATGTTCTCTTGGCGCTATCTGCTTTTTGCTGTGATGCTGGTTCTGCCGTGTCACACCCTGCGATGGATCGCTTCCACACTGTATGAAAAAGATGCGCAGCCAGGTCCCGGAATTTTACGAAAATCAGATGACGCGACCTGAGGTATCCCCTAACAGCCTTAAGACTGCTAGCAAGCAAAACAAGAAAACAGGTGACCTGCTATGGTGGAGGTCACCGGTGATAACCATCAATGGCACAGCTTTGGCTGTGTGGGGTCTGGCAGAGATGTTCCATCCAACTCTAGTTGGTGAGTTGCCTTCGCACCTTTGCCTGTTAGAAGGTGGCCTCTGGGAGATTCCCACAATGAGGGGTCCCTCTAAGGGGTCCCCATGATGAGGACTAGAGTATGTTGGGGTCTATATTGAGGTCCCTCTGTGTAGGGAAATTACCATATGACCTATAGTCTAAACGGGTTATAGAGGGGATTATATAGGGAACTAATATAGGGGATATTAAGGGGGATACTAGGAGTTTAGACTATGGCTCATATGAGCCTGGAGAGGATTTCAGAGGCAAAGTCAAGGAAGTTTCTGACTCTGTTCTGATGGAGTGGTGGCAAAGCTTGCTTGAGATTCATATATGAGGTATAATTTAATTACTCCTTAAAGGGGGGTTACATAGGGGAATATTATAGGGGTTTAAAGCATGATACTAGGAGTTTAGATTATAGCTTATATGTGGGCTCTCATCAGACTTTCAGGGTTGCCTGCATCTGCCACTGTCAGCACAATCTTGATGAAACTTACTTTCAATAGCAGCGGCACAATCGCAGGAACCAGGCTTACTAGGGTTCGGGGATTGCTGAGGCTTGTGACGCATGTGGCATATGCCGTCATATTGGGGACGACGATGGCTGTATGTGGGCTGCTACAGTTGTCCGACATGCTTTGTGCAGTGGCGGGCGTTACAAACCTGTTCATGCTTGGTTGCCTGCCGATGTATTATATCACCCGCTCCAAGTATCCACAGCGCAGATTTTGGTCTTGCCTTCGATGGGCAATCAGCCAGTTCCTGGCAACTGCAGGCACTGCCGTGCTGACGACCAGCATCGTTTTGGTATATGTTTTCATGCTGGCTTCACAGCCGCTCATGGCCAACCTTTTCTTGCCAGTGGCCACGGCATTGGCAGAGATTGGAGTGGTTCTATACTCCAGCCTTAGCTACCGTTGGCTGGTCGTTGCAAAGCGCCCACATGTCCCAGGTGACTTACTGGCGATTAGTAGGGAAGAAGGGGATGCAATCCCTATAGAATCTCCATATTATAGTCATATAATCCCCATACTATATAACGCCTACATGGGGGTTTCCCAAAATTATGGGTACCTTTTTGTGGGTCCCCATAATAAGGACTATAGTTTTTTTTGGGGTCTATATTTGGGTTCCCCTTATTTTGGGAAAGTACCATATACTACATTCCTCTATTCCCTAGTGACCACCAGTTAGGTGATATGACCGCGCTGGCAGTCCCCGGCATGCTCATTGCAGCGCATGCTCTGGCGCAGTCGGTGCGCCTGGTCGCCCTGTGGACAGGGGCCGTGACTGGGCTTCGTGCTTAGCTCAACGGATCCTAAGTACCTATAAGGGAATACTGACCTAAACCCACTTCTTTTATTCCCAATATAGAAGCCTTACTTTGTACCATATACCTACTCAGGATCCTTTGGGTAGCAGATGTTGAAGAAACGGAATGCAGGGATCATGGTTGGGGGCTCTATAGGGACTTAACATGGGGTCCTATAGAGGCTAGCATTGGTTTTTATGGGGACTAACAGAAAGATCCATTCCTACCCTTCCCTACGAACTACTCGTGGAGGTGAGATCAGGCAGCTTCCTGTGGATCGTGAGCGCTGTTCTGACCCTCATACTGAACATCCTCTCTCGCCTTGGGTGGATGCGTTACTTGCTGTTCCAAGGTGCCAAGAAGCTCCTAGGCGTTCGGCTGGCCGTCGCTGCTTTTGGGCCCACTAGCTGGACAAAGCTGCATGATGAGATGAAAGTCTATTGCGGATACATCCGCTTCATCGAGCCCCTAGCTTTGGCGGCTTCCAGAGCCATCGTGTATCGTGACATCTCACTCACTGGACCCAAGGCACCGGCCTTCAACCCCTCTGCCGCCTGCGCCTTGCTCGTTCTTCTGGTGCTTGAGGCTTTGGAGGATGCCGTTGTGATCCACGAGCTTCTGCCGATGAGCCCCATCCCAACAGAGCTCCTCGGTACTCCAGTAGTACCCTTAAAGGGATTTACAGGGGTTCTATGGGGGAAATATAGGTGGATATAGGGATTTAGGGTCTTGGTACCCCAGATTTACACTTTTTTTTCTTTGTATTTTGAGGTCTCCTTATTAAACTGAACATTAGGAAAAAGGGTACCCTTCTTATTAAGCGGTGGCTGGGCAACCTAGGCTCCTGGATGCCAGGCCACCACAAAGTAATGCTGACCCAAGCGCGCTGATCAGCGTGGAGATTCGGCCGTCCAGCCCAACACAGGCCATCAATTACGTAGTCCAGTTCTCAGTCTGGCTTGGGGAATGCGCCTGGCATCCTAAACCCTAAGCTCTAAATCCGAAGCCCCTAAAACCCTAAACCCCTCCACCCTGAATCCCTAAGCCCCCAAACCCTAAACCTGTAGACCTTTAAACCCTATATAAACGGATTGGCGTCAGGATCCGTGGCGCCGGGAAGAGCTCAACGGCAAGGGTGCGTTGAAACGCATCTTCACGCAGGGCTCCGGCGTTGTGGCCAGCCACTTACCCTACTGGGGGTATCCATGGTTTAGGGGCTTAGGGTTCAGGGGCTTGGGGTAGCAAGGAACGAAGGAGTGGACCCTGGTAGTAGTCCCTGTATATAGTCCCCAAGAACAATAGTTTCTGTTTTCTTTTCCATTAGCCTGCTTTGTTTCTCCATTTGTTTCTCCATCGTAATTGCTCCTTTTCATTTTCTGCTTCCGTTCCTTGAGCCCTGAACCCTACATATCCCTACGCTAGAGCTAAATTTACATATTCCTGGAGCCCCTAGCAATTACTACCCTATACCCAAAAGCCTAAACCCTGAACCCTTACTCATTGCAGTTGGAGGAAGGTCTCATTAAAAAACTAAACCCATAAACCACTAGTGGTTTCCCTTTGCTACTCAGTGGCAAGGTCAGCCCTCTGAGCTGCTGGACCACAGCCACGCCTTTGGACGGCGGCGGATCTCCTTGCGTTCACGCGTACGGCAGTGGCTGGGGCAGGACAGGCTTGTGAAAAAAAATCTACCAGTCAAGTTATATACGGGTTATATGGGGATAATCGTGTTATATGGGGTTATATAGGGGATAATAGAAAAGAGAATGGGAACTACTGTTTAGGGGTAAGTCTAGCGTGCCGCCTCTCTCTTTCTCTGGCTGTCTCCCTTTCCCTGTCTCTCTCTCACTCTCTCCGTCCATCTCTCGCTCGCCTGCTCGCTGAATCTGAGCAGGAAAGGGATGTGAATCCAGCATTGATTCTCCACGGTCTGAGAGAGACGCTGGGCGCAGATAGTTTACGACGGTTTCGAGAGGGCAGGCTTTGCACGTGTGACGTACCCTGCACTGCTAAGGACACAAACCGTTCAATCCAGGACATCCATACTTTCCGCGCCGTTTTCCATTTTAGTTTTCCATGTGGTGCCTTTACGGTAGTTTCCTGTTGTTTTTGTTCTCCATGTCTTCTTTCTCTGCACAATCCAAAGGGCCCAAGGGCGAGCTTCAAATATTGATCATTATCCCCAGAAGCTTTTATTTGCCCCCACCCTAAACCCCAAACCCCTAAACCCCTTGACCCTATCAAATCCCGAAACCCTTTCAATTCCATGTTCTTCTTTTCTGATCTCGTAGTATCCACTATATGAACTCTAGAATTCAGGCCCTGAGCCGAGTATCCTGAAGACCGTGAAGTAATGTATATAGCCCCATATATCCCCCATAAGCCCCTACTAAATCCTGCTTATATAAATATATATATATATATATCTGTTTATGTGTGTATATATATACAGATATTCCCTTAACCCCCTAAACCCCTGAACCCTGAAGCCTAAATAAACCCCAAGTGACCCAAGGGCGAGTTTCAAAGGGCAGCTGGCCGCGGTAGCAGTTGTTTGTGAGTTCACGCTGGGGTGGCTGGAGGCTTCACCGGATTTATCTGAGGGTTCGGCGATTTTGGGCTTTAGTAGGGATTGTAGGGTTTGGTAGGGATTTTGGGGTTTCGGATTTAGGGTCGGCTGGAGTCTTTTGGAGTCCTATTATAGCATGGTGTTATATTGGGACTCCAGTTTTCGGAAACCCCTTAATGGTGTGGTGGCAGATTTCTTCAGTCGGCGTTTTCGCCCAGTCCCTTCGCAGGCGCAGTTTTTGAAGTTCGAAGGTCGGGACGTCTGGAGGGACCAAAGCATCGACATGTTAACAGCTATCGCTGAGGCCATTTTGAAGTTCAATTGCTGGTGACACCTGCACTTGATGCGTGAAGATGCGCGACACGCTTAGATGCATAAGGGCCAGCCGCATGGGGTTTAATTAGTGTTGTCTGGTTCGAGGCCCTGTCAGAAGGGTTTTGGGGTGATGGCAAGCAACGCTCCCCCGAAACCCTGCAACAACTGATGAACAGAACATCCTATGCACAAAGTGGAGCGACGGCCAGCAAGCCCAAACGCACTGACCCCGAAGCACCCTTTCAATGCTCAAGCTTTCGGGTTGTGAGTAGTGAATGAAGGAAGGGAAAAGAGCATGGAAACTACCATAGGGGTTCGTGGAAGAAAACACGAAACCACTATAATATACAGGGCCTACTATAGTGCTCCATTCCACCAGCCAGCAAAAGGAAAAGGGTTGATAGTGGCCGACGGGGGCAGACCCTGAACTGCACAGGGAATGACGACCAGAAAACTTCGAACTGTAAAGGCATGCTGGCCAAAATGCCCCAAGCCGCACAAAGGGTGACCCCTCATATGTCCCAGCAAGAGTGATTCCAAACGCACGCGTCGCCAGTGATGAGTTGGTTGAACGCCAGAGTCAAGTATTTTGCCTGCCCGACAGTGAGGATTGAGTTCAGGGTGCCTTCTGCGGCTTCCAATTCTTGGTACAGAGGGACTCTCCGAAAAGGATCCCTACTGTGTTGGGAGCCCTAAAGCCTGCACACTTGTGTCTACATTCCCCTGTATACCCCATATACCAGTATCTATACCCCCATATATCATATCTCCCTGAAATAACCTGCTTTAAAGGTAGCGTCAGTCTTTGGCCGGAGGCAACACTGGGTGCAGGCTTTGCAAGAGGCCTTTGCGAGACCGGCGGACGCATGGCATATTCTGGATGGCTGTCAAGGACCTTAGATTAGGTTACTAGAATAAGGAAACCCTATTATTCACTACATACCCATACTATGGTAACTTTATGTAAGTTCCTCAACAGCAACCCAGTATTTGGGATTTAGGGTTTACCTTGCTCAAGTGGCTGTGCATGTGGGAAACTGTCCGAAATGGCAGTCGTCGGGCTTTGGAATTACAACACTTTAGCCGGATTTGATTCACTACCCTGGACGTTATGTGAACTGAAGCATGGGCGTTGCCCAGGCCCAATCACGACGATGACACGATGTGGGTATATGGCGCAGGCAATAGCCAAAACGGATAAGCTGAGGTTTCTGTTCGCTAAGCTTTTGGGTGAGACTTTCCATTCTTCTGGGGTGCTGTGTACAACTTGATTTGAGTTGCTATATTGGGGAAGCCCTACCCATATTATGGTAAGTTAACTTAAGTTTCCCAACAGCAACCCAGTCTTTCTGGTGAGCCTTCGGCTTGCATGCATTGAAGAAGACTGCCGGTCAGAGATCAACATGCTAGGTCCCTCTCTCATTAATCATTTGAGATATTGTCTAAACTCCTTAAAGGGGCTTATAGGAGGGATGATATAGGGGATTATTACAGGGGTTAGTACGGGGGATATTAGGCGTGAAGATTACAGCTCATTTGGAACCCATGTCATGTCTGTTTGCTACAATCTTTGGCAAAGATTTTGTATGATCCCACTGACATTCTCGTGTTCGGGACGCTGTTGCAATCCGCCTCCCAGTTGCTCGTCAGCACGAGGAATGCCCCTGCCAATGAGGCGACCGCACCATAGTATTCGCCATACGCCTTAAACCCTGAATAACGGTTTCCATGTTCTGTCCCGTTATCCCTATATAAGCGTCTATTATACTCCCAATGATAGCTACCCCCATTCACTACTAACCCTAATTGCTTCAAGAGGCCTTCGTAAAGCAGCCTAGAGTATATCAATACATCTGGTATATGAGCCATAGTCTAAAGTCATTGAAGAGAGCTATATAGCGGAGTATACAGGGTTTAGGCTGGAGATTATATAGGGAACTATCATAGGGGTTATTAAGGGGGATACAGGAGTTTAGACTATAGAGCTCCTCCTATGTTTGCGTGCCAGGATTTCGAGACGCTAGTCCGGGGCGATATAACCTTACTCTATACTGGGTACTAGAGTGTCCCCATTTCACCATACGATTCATCTGATCACCAAATCGACTCCTACTTTTTAGAAGCTATAAACATTGCTTGTCCCTGCAAATCCTGATTTAACCCAAAAAAACATATTCCGGCAAAAGGAGGCCTTAATTTTTGAAGCACAGATTTCGCAGCAAGTCCCCATATACCATTATATAACCCAAGCCACGAAATCCTAAATACCCCCTTTAAAATGGGTTCATTTTCAAGGAAATGCATCCTATGTAAGCCGAGGAGATCTAGATCCTGGGCTGCTGCTGTGGCGACCCGTGCCCTTTCAATGTTGAGGACCGTGGGTTTGGGGTTTAGGGCGTGGGGGTTTGGGAGAGGGAGAGAGAAAGAGAGAAGGTGGGGGCTTGGAGTTTAGGGCTTAGGGTTTAACAATTTAGGGTTCAGGGTTTGGAGGGTTTTGGGGTGTTGCCGGCGTGCGTGGAAACAAAGATTCAGTGGATGCTGAGAAGGCTGCGTGGCCCCAAGTGCCTCATCTGGATTGCTGTTGCGGAATTACGTTACCATAATTACTGGGTATATATCTATGGTGATTAATGTGGTTTCCCCAATATAGTAACTTAAATTCCTTAACAGCAATCCAGTTAGTCTATTCCTTGCAAAGCGTGGGGTTCCAGCAGACTCAAGAGGTATGGGGTTTTGAGGGCTAGAATACCCTAAGCCCTAGGCCCAGTATTTCTTGAGGCCACGACCCCTACCAACCTGTCTGCTACAACTCGACCAGGAAGAAAGTCATGATTTCGGCTGAGTTTCTGTGGTTCCTTTCTTGGCTCCCTTTTCGTCGCCTTTTCTCTATGGTTGCTAGGTAAGTAGGAAAATACTCAAGTTAAAAGCTTGTTGCTGCTAATATCGATAACAGAAGTGTTTCGTACCATGCCTACTTGGACCTATCCCCCACAAACCTTCATCTGTATATATTTGCCCAGTTGTGATTTCATGCTCCATCTTCCTTTCACTTGGACACTTCCACGAGCGCGCACCCCCCAAAAT